ACTGATTAGTTGCACTAGTACATTTATGTATTGAACAGGATTCCAGAGAGGAGAAGTTCATTTTATACTGATCGTCGTAAATGAACTAGGCCTCGGTTAATTACTGCGTTCTATTAACCCGTAAGATATTAAACATGCAGATATATATAGTATATATTACTTTGATTCACTTGGGTGAGGTGCAGTTCACTGGATCAATGTTCCAATTGTTTTGAGTAATATTATTATATATAGAATGTGTTGTTAGGATATTTACGGTCACTATGTGCGTTAGTTTGATGATGTCCCCGGAGTGAGTTGATGAAGGATTGTTATGCTAAACCCTGCAGGTGGATTAAGTTCTGGAATAATAAGAATGTGATGAACAAGCGCTAGCTTCGGTGAAATAATAATAAATTAATTAATTCTTGATTGTCAGTAATTGAATTAATTAATGGACATTAGATCTTAAATGTGGGGAGATAAATCGAATAATTATTATTGGAGTCTCAAATGTAATTTAGGCTAGGAAAGGCAGTGCAATAATATAATGTTGGTGGCCCATTAATATTATTTAATTAATTAGAGGAGTGGGCTTGGCCCACAGTTAATCTAATTAATTAAGGAGCCATTTTCTTAATCTCATAAGGGTCCCTACTGTAGCTCTATATATACATCATTAAGCTCATGAGAAGAGAAGACATCTGTCATATACAAACACATGCCCCACGCCCCTCTCTCTCTCTCTCTAGATCTTATTCGAGCTTTATCTTCTTCTTGTTGCTCCACTGATACAAGTCGAAGAAGGGTGTATTGAGTAATACAGTAGAAGATCTGTAGGTAAACCGGGACGAAATATATTTTATTCTACAGAACTAACCGGAGGTTCGATTGAGGAGTGCAGCATACCCAGACGACCGTCTCGCTGAGATCTTTCCATCGCCACAGTACGACGCCGCACGTGCCCTCACGTGACGTTGAAAATTGTCTGGCAGCAAGTTTCGTCTTCATCTATTTACACCCGTTTGATCCGGTTTTGATTTGATCTTGTTCTTGCAACCCAAGACGTGATTTGCGGTCAACCGTTCGTGGTCAACCAGATCTATATAAATCTTAAGCCGTAAGTTCTCTACGTCAAACTTTTAGATCCCAACAAGTGGTATCATAGCACTTGGTTAATTCGTCTTGTACAAAGTTTGAATTTTTACGGCTTTATTTGACTAGATGTGTTCAAACGCAGCCATATATTGAATTATATTTGCATAACTCGGTTTTGCAGGAAAATAGTTAATCCATTATTATGACCGATTATGTGTTTAATGAATGCTGTTGAATGTGATGTATGGTTTTAAATTTATTTTTAAAGCCTCGGACATGTCGAGGAATTCATGGATGAATGTTTGCAATAATTATTCGCCCGGAGGTTGACCGGATAAATTTAATATTTGCTTAAAAAACATGTACATCCATTCGTTGGATCTAGGATCGAATTATGTAATTTTATAAATTATATTTTCGTGTTGTGATCGTGTGTTGATGACCGGGTGAACACAAGAGATCAACGGGCCTCGAAGAATAAAAAAAGGGGGGGATTTTTCCGGCGAACCGGCGGCGGCGGACCGGATGGAGGCGGCTGGTGGTGGGCCGGTTTTTGCCTTGATGACCGAGCAGTACAATATCAACCAGGATTCTACCTCTTAAGGAGTTCCAGTTGAACATGGAAAGAACTGTCACAGTTTCCTTGTTTAAGGAGACTCAATATTTAATGGCCATAATAGTGAATTTATTTATTTATTTAAATTCATTATGCCATTAATTATTATTTATGCATGTTAATTAATTATGTTCTTGCATGGGATTAATTTAGTATTGCAAGATTAATTATGCATGTTAAATAATCTATATATATATATAAAAGTATGATTATTTTTAAAATTGTAACTATTTCTCGCCAAAAAAATATTATTTACTATATTAGGAAATTAATCAAGTAATTTATGGTATAAAGTGGGCAAAATATTTTTGGTATGAAATTTTATTGTGATATTCAATTTTTGGTATGAAAAATCATCAAAATGCATTTGGAAGTGTTTCCAAGTATAAAATAATTTACTAATTAAAACCATATTTTTCGTGATCGGTTAAGAGTGATATGAGTTACAGTATATATAATTTTTATGGGATGGTGAAAAATTTGCATATTTGACAAAACACATAAATTTATATTACATTTATAATTATTTCTCTTAAAATAAGTTGTACCCGTTATATCTATATCGAAATTACAAAATATGTTTACCCATAGATTGCTTTATTTTTGTGTTATTTACAATTTGAATAATAAATTGTAATATATAGTCGTTATCTATACAACTTACTTCTGGTCATATAATGAGAAAAAATAGTACATGTTGCATGGTAAACATATAAATCTTAACTAATAAATATATGGTAGCAATAATTACCGAACCTAACTATATAGAATGAATATATGTTTTATTCCTTCTAAAACAAATTGTATATCCGTTATATTATGTTTCATTAAATCGTATCATATATAATATCGTATATAGATACAAATCTCTCGCTATATATAAATGTATGTATTTACTTGAAATAAAACTAAAATCCCGCCTAAAAGCTTTAAAATTATTAAACTTGGTAATCATTTTTTAAAATTTTAAAAAAGTCCCATCTCTAGATATCTGATTGCCATTTTTATTTTTTGTAGGAAATGTGTTGTTATTAATAAATGTATAAATTTTATGATATAAAGCGAACGATGTTATTTTAGTATGAAATGTTGAATTTAAATGGTATGAATTTACTTGCTATGGACAGAAATGTATTTCAAAATTTTGAAAAGAAAATAACTGATATTAATTTTATTTGGTATGTGTATGAAAGTCGAATTAGTTGATTTGTTATAAAATCAAAGTGAAGTGATTTTCTAATTTGGAATTGAATTGGTCTCTGCAAGCTATAAAATTTTGAGTGAATTTATTTGTAAGTAGATACATGTAAACCAAAAAAAAATATTTATATATCAAGTTAGAAGATATATTATCAAAAATAAGTTGTAGGACGTTAATTTATATGTTCCATAAAATTGATTAAATTTATTGTTTCCAACCATTGTTTAAGAAGTTAAAAAAAAAGGAAGTAAAACATTAAAGTAATAGTTGGACAACTATAATAGCTTCCCGCCAAAAATACAACACCCAAATAAAATTTTATTTCAAATACTCTTACTAATGTTTTTACTCATTCTATCAAACTTGATTCAAATATATAAATTTTTCAAAATAATTATTTTATGGAATCACATTGTAATCAAATCGAATTTTGATAAAAATTTTAAAATGACACTTATTTTAAAATGAATATAATGTAACTTATTATAAGTTACGTGTACCGCACGAGTCGTGTACTGATTTTAAATAGACATGTTTTATGTAATTGTGCACAATTTAAATTTCATATAACATTTTTTAAAAATTAATATAGGTAATTTGTGTTACATATTGATTCCATACTTTTAATTTATAAATATTAACTAATTTATAAATATTAATGAATATCTCTTACCCGTGCATCGCACGGGATTCGTACTAGTTATGTAATGCATATGATTAATTTAGAATTGTGTCAATAAATTATGCATGTAATTAATTATTGCACTAGCATTGATTAATTTAGAATTGCACAAATTATTGTACATGTTAATTAATTATTGCATTGACATAGATTAATTTAGAATTGAATGAATTAATATACATGTTAATTAATTATTGCATTAAAATAGATTAATTTGGAATTGCATAAATAGTTAAAAATCCTCATTAAATTATACTAAGTTTGAGAAGGTATTTTAAATTAAAGTTAATTGTAAAGTTCCTAAGGCCTCATTTCTAATTTGTCAGTAAATCAATTAATTGCGGAATTGCATAGATAGTTAAAAATCCTCATTATATACTAAGTTTGAGAAGGGATTTTAAATTAAAGTTAATTGTAAAATTCCTAAGGCCTCCATTTCTAATTTGTCGGCAAACCAATTAATTGCGGTAATGGGCTCCCCACGGGTGACATTGCTAAAATCAATTGTAGGAAATTACCAGGACAAGTTTCTAAAATTATACGGTTAGAGGGAATCTTAAGAGATCGCACGGGCCTCCCCACGGGGGACGTGTAATCAATTTGGACGACCTGAGAATCAAGAAATGGGATTCAGTTAGAATGCGATTTATTTATAAACACCCCACGAGGTCCCTAAATTACTGCATGGCCAAATGGAGACCGACTACTAATTTCGTTCGTCATGAATTTAGTTTTGACTTATGGAAATTAATTGGCCCTTGAAAAGTCCTTCTCTTACAAAATGCGAGTTTGTAGGGCGACCCACGTAGCATGCATTCTCACGAGGTGTAATAGATGTCGGTGAATTTAAGTTAATATTTTTCTGAGGATATCAATATTGACAGTTAAATTCAAATGTGTTTAATATGTAAAATTATTTGCATGATTCTCAGGATATTCATCATGTCATTCAATCCGTTGTCGTTCAATCCGTTGTCCGGATTTTATTTTTATTCGTGCTCGATTATTAGTCTATTTAGATTATGTGTTGGTAATTTTCTAAATGAATAATTGAGTAGATTTTTATATCGAGCCGAATTGTAAATTATATTTTAAATTGTCGATCGAACCGAGCGAGCGACCAAGTCGAACCGTCGGACCGAAGCCCGTGGCCGCGTAACGCCTAACCCGCGGCCCGCGCCCGCTGCGTAGCGCCTAGCCCAGCCCGTTTGGCCCGCCCGCCCGCAACCAAGCGTTCTAGAAGGCCTTTGGTTTGAATTTTGAATCCCATAATCCATGCTCTTTGACCAGATTTTGAGGGGGGTTACACCCAATTTCTTTAGGTAATAAAAGGAAAGCCTTTCCCCTCCCTTCCTCATCTCTCTCTCGTCACTTTCTCTCCCCCTCTCTCCCAAGTCACACCAGCCCCTCCTCTCATCATCCTCTCAAAGTTTTTCGCCGAAAAAACTTGGCCAAACCGCCGGGAAAATCCCTCGCTGTACCACACGCCGCGCACGCCACCGCTGCCAACCCCGCGCGCGCACTAAAGCCGCACATCCCCCGCGAGCAAGTCGAGACGCCACCCTCGCACGTCCGACATCTTTCCCACGTTCACGAGCCACCGAGGACCTCTGGACACCATCCTTGCTGTGCGAGCCGCCTTCAACATCGAGCACACGCGGGCGAGTTTCCCGCCCGTAGGAGCTGAGCCCGCACCCCGTGATCGCGCCGTGTCGCCTTTCTCACCTTGGTATTTGGTAGCCTACTAAAATCCATGGATTATTATGTGTTTTATATGTGTTCATGGCTGATTATATGATATTATGTCGTGTTTGATATCAAAATGTTGATATATAGTATTATTTATATATTAATGTATTGGATCTTTAGGATTTAAAGTGAAACCCGTAGGCCTGATGTTTACTCGTGGAAATCTTGTGGATTCTGGAGCATATGAGTGTCCTTGTGATGCTGGTTTTGACCTTGTGTCATTTGGAGATCTAGATATTGAGTTATGAATTTTTTAACTTGGTGTTGCTGCAGTTGTTTGTAAAATGCGTGATAAATCGAGTTGTTGCCAAAACATTCTGAATTTTGAATATGTTGTTCCCCTGATATGTGTTGACCTCGTGTTAAAACTTTGTAATTGTTGGAATCCATTTGGTAGGGTAAATGTTTATATTAATTTCTGGTCTGAAACTTGTTTAAATCATGATAAATCGGCCCCTTGCTAAAAATGGTTGAAACTGAGTTTATATGCTCATTAGATGTTGTATTATGTGATATAAAAATCTCAGATTTTATTGAATTCATTTTGATAGGTTTTTGATAAAATCATAATTTTTGCTGAATCTTGCAACAATTTTTATAAATTTTGGGTTGATTTTTTTTAACTAGAAATTTTATATGTTGGACCCCGCATGCCGAGGTTATTGATGTTAAAATTTTAGGACTTAAATCATTTGTTAGGTCAGACTTTAGATTCATCCTTGTTTTTGCTGAAATATTGTTTTAATTTTATAAAATCACATGTGTAAGTGTTAAGGCTGAAACTTGGTGGTTTTAATGTATTCTATGTGATATTTCATTTGTCCATATTTAGAAGTATAATTCATCCATTTTCCTATTCAACTAGAAAATGTGGTTTACTTGTCAATTTGCTCGAAATATTGGTTGGATAGACTAACTTTTGAATTTTGGCATGATTTTTAATATATGATGTCCTCTTGGCATGTTTTATAAGTGGTGTGAATTTCATGTTAATTGGCTGAGTATATTATGAGATGGTTTTTTTTGTGTGCTTTTCCCTTTTTTGTTTGAGTCGAGTTGAATGTTCCACTACTCCATGAGAATTTTCCACGAGCCACTTAGTCGACGAGTTCGACTAAGTTTGTGTGATCGTTGGACTTGTCGTAATCGATAGGTTATCTTGATTTCGTGTAGGTGTTCCGAGGTGTTGACCTCAAACTCTATCCTTTCGAGCTTCGTTTATGAGTCATCGCCGCTTTCAGGTGGGTACATTTACGTTGTATCTATAATTATCGCACTCGTTATTTCGTATAAATGTTCGTCTCGATAGCTGTTGTACGCGTGAGAACCCTAGTCTAGGCGTCCCATTGATAGTGCCTTTGATGAATGCATAAACAGTGAGGGGTCGCCTGCCCGTTGCTAGTCGGGAGGTGGACGCCCTAATCCGCGTGTTATTCGGGGGGGAAAACAGCTCCACTGTCTCCTGGAAAGGATCCCATGATCCGTGTGTTGTTCGGGGTGGGAAGGTTTCCAGTTACATCTTTGCCGATGTTTGGTCGGAAGGTTTGTTGTATGTATATAGGAGGTTTGCGATAGGGCCGAGTACGGAGTTAGACCTGGATTCTATGCATACTTTATTATGGTTTTGAATCTTTATGCGGGATATACTGTGCGGTAATGGTGAACATAATGGTTTGCTCACCCCCATTCTTTTTCTTCTTTTCTCCTCTTCCTTTGTGTAGATTGAGCATGGCTGGCGGCGGCGGCGTGAAGACGATCGAGTGGTGGTCATTTGTCGTTATGTTATCATTGTCTCTTGCTTCCGCCTATTATAGTTCATGTTGAACTATTTGCTTTTACCTTGGATATTTCTGCTTCCGTTTGAATATTATGATGATGTTTGGATGGACCTTTTGGATCACGTTTAACTTTTTGGTTGATTTTTGGAACTTAATGAATCATTGGTTTAAATGTTTGTAACTGTTAGTTTATGCATGTGTAGGTTCAATCTATTTATTCGTATTTGTTTAAATGTCTTTGGTAGTTAAGTAGCGCCCGTTGATAATCAAGTTCTTAATTGAGAATTTGTGAAAAATTAACTCTGATTTTCATAAATAAATTTGGTAAATTCTTTAAAATAAAACGGGGCGTTACATTACTGGTCCTAATTACATTGATTGGAAGAGGAACTTAGATATAGTGTTGACTGCTGAGGGTTATAAATTTGCCATCAATGAGGCATGCCCGGCAGTGCCGGCGGCTGATGCTCTTGAGCAGGAGAAAGAGGAGTATGCTTGGTGGAAAAAGGCTTATGAGATGGCGAAGTGTTATATTCTGGCTTCTATGTCGAATGTTCTTCAACATCAGCATCAGTCTATGGACACTGCAGCAGATATACTACTCAATCTCAGGAATCTGTTCGGACATCAGTCGAGGGCTGCTAGGCAAGAGGCTTTGAGTGCTCTGATGAGTACGCGCATGGCCGAGGGCACACCCGTAAGGGAGAACGCCCTCAGGGTTATGGCGCAGCTCAATGAGCTTGAGGTGATGGGAGGTTTTATTGACGGGGAAACCCAGATTGATATTATGCTCCAGTCTCTGCCGAAGAGCTTTGATCAGTTCCGGTTGAACTACAACATGCACAAGATGCATATGGCTCTTCCAGAACTGCTTGCAGAACTTCATTCGGCGGAAACCTTATTCACTCAGGCTCCTCAGGTGCTAGTCGCCGAGCAGGCTGGACCTTCCAGGCCTTATAAGGACAGGAAGAGAAAGAAGCCTGCAGGAAAGGCGAAGGCCCAGGATGCTCCGATTTTTCCATGACCGGCCCCTCAGGTTGTGGCAAAGAAACCGAAAGGAAGATACCACAAGTGCAACAAGTCAGAACATTGGAAGGTCGACTGACCTCTCCTCAAGAAAGGTAACTCTCTCGTTAATATCATAGAAACATGTTTAGCGGTTGTATCTACCAGAACCTGGTGAGTAGATACTGGAGCCACTGATCTTATTTCTAATTCTTTGCAGGGGTTCCAGGAAACCAAGCGGCTTAGGGAGGGAGAGATCACCGTCTACATGGGCAATGCTACGAAAGTGACGGTTGTTGTAGTGGGAGACGTTACTTTATCATTTGATAGTAGTAGTTTGGTTTTGAGGAATTGCCTTTATGTTCGTAGCTTTAGAAAGAATCTTGTTTCAGTTTCTAAACTTGTTATGGATGGTTTTTCAATTTCATTTGATGACATGGTTATTATTCGTTTTGGAAATCGTTTCATATGTTGTGGTTCATTAGTTGGAAATTTATATGTTCTCAAACCAAACTCTCCCACAGTGCAACATAATGAATTGAATAATATCATAACTACATCTAATAAGAGGAAGGAATCTTCGCAGTTGAATCAAGTATATCTGTGGCACCTTAGACTTGGGCACATCAACCTTAGGAGGATTCAAAAGTAAGCGGCTAATGAACTTCTCGGTCCATTGGAAGAGCACTATCCAACTTGCGAATCCTGCCTGGAAGGTAAGATGGCGAAGAGGCCGTTTACGACAAAGGGGTATAGGAGCCAAGAAGTGCTAGGATTGATTCATTCTGATTTGTGTGGTCCTATGTCGATCTAGGCTAGAGGAGGTTTCGAGTACTATGTTTCTTTCATAGATGATTACTGGAGATTTGGGTACGTTTACCTGTTGCACTGCAAGTCCGAATGCTTTGTAAATTTCAAGAAATATCGGGCAGTTTTGGAGAAGCTTCATGGTAAAAGTATCAATCACTTCGTTCTGATCGAGGTGGCGAATACCTCTTTGGAGAGTTCAAGACATACTTATCGGAAGCTGGGATTGAATCCCAACTGACTGCAACCGGCACGCCCCAACAGAACGAGGTTGCAGAGCGAAGAAATACGACTCTTATAGAGATGGTTAAGTCTATGATGAGTTACTCAAGGTTACCAGATTCGTTTTGGGGAATGGCGCTGGAAACAACATCGTACATTCTGAACTTGGTTCCATCGAAGTCAGTTGATACTACTCCTTACGAATGGTGGAAAGGGCGCAAGCTCGAGTTTTCACATATTTGGGTATGGGGTAGCCCTGCACACGTTTTAGTCAGGAACCTGGTAAATTGTAAAAATATTCAGAAGCACGAGTTTTCGTTGGCTATCCCAAGGAAACGACAGGTGGATTATTTTATAGTCCCAGGGATCAGAAGGTGACCGTTTCGACGAATGCTAGATTCTTGGAAGAAGACTATAATATGAATCATAAGTCCGCAAGTAGATTAGTCTTAGAGGAGTTAAGGGGTGAAGTCGATAGTTCCCCACCGAGTGCGCAAGTAGATACATCACATAATATTACAACACGGCACACTGAGAGTGTACCAGTGCAGACAGTGCCTCGTTGCAGTGGGGGGGTTTTTCATTTACCCGACCGATGGATAGGTCTTGGAGAGTCATCAAACTCCATTCCAGGATGTCTGGAATCGGACCCAAGAACTTACGATGAGGCACTCCTAGATAAAGATGTAGATTCATGGAATGTTGCAATGAAAGCTGAAATGGGGTCAATGGACTCTAATCAGGTCTGGGATCTTGTAGAACCACCCGATGGGGTACGACCCATTGGATGTAAGTGGATCTATAAGAGAAAGAGAGGATCGGATGGGAAGGTGCAAGCCTTCAAAGCTAGGCTTGTGCGAAAGGTTATACCCAGATCGAGGGTATTGATTATGATGAGAACTTTTCGCCAGTAGTTACGCTTAAGTCCATTGGAATTCTCTTGGCTGTAGCCACCCATATGGATTATGAGGTTTGGCAGATGGATGTCAAGACAGATTTTCTTAACGAGAACCTGCAGGAAGACATCTATATTCAACAGCCAGAGGGATTCATTGCTGAAGGTTGTGAGCATCTAGTGTGTAAGCTTTATCAGTCTATTTATGGACTGAAGCAAGCTTCAAGATCTTGGAATCCGTTTTGATGAGGTGATCCAGT